GTATGTCCAAGGTATCACATTTTAAACAAAAAAAGATGGCCGCCAGTCGGTCATATTCGATCAAATTGAATTGACATGTACATGTATCCATTTATGACATACTAAATATCAATGAAAATGATACGTGGGTGACAGAGATATAATAATATGGCCAAAAATAAAAACAGCCGTTATTTGGTCATCTTTGATCTGATTATGAAACAAACTGACATGTATGATGTATGTGCCAATTACGAATAAAAATGGTACATACATCTTGGAAATATAGTAGTAAGGACAAAAAGTCAGATGGCTGTCAATCGCCCATCCTTGATCAAATTGTCATGGACATGTATCCTAGCATGTATAAATTATGTGCCAAATTGAATGAAAACTGACAAAGCATGTCTAAGATACCACATTTAAAAAACGAACAAGATGCCTGCCAGTCGGCAATCTTTGATCCAATTGCGAAAGAAATTATCATGGACATGTATCCTAACATGTATAATCTATGTACCAAATTTAAATGCAAACTGACAAAGCATATCCAAAATACGACATTTTCAAAAAACAAGAAGGCTGCCAATGCATGTGCATATGTCCCACATAAAGTACTAGGCACATGCAAAAAATAAACGGAATCATTCCAAAGGATTCTGAAATATGACTCCAGACGGACGCACGGACGCACGGACGAAGACCGAATATAAGTCTCCGTTTTCGAACTTCGTTTGAACGGGGACTAAAATATTGAAAAAAAACATGCTGTACATTACAAATGATCGTAATGAGATTGACAAAAGTTTATTCAATATAAACAAATTGACATCTTATGTAAGTATGTAATATCTTATGAACATTTTTGTAAGGGGGTGATATGAATCTAGGTAACCTACTCTACATATGAAAATATGTAGAAATATACAGTCCTATAGGACTTATGATCTCACACCAGTCACTGAATATTTGCTTGTATGATGAATTTTAATTGCGGTCAAAATGGAATTTTTTAAAATTACACCTCGTCAAATATGAATACATTCAATTACAACGGCCACCTCTCATATCCCAGCAACATAGATAGCAACATAGATTTATGCTTTCCTCAATAAAATGAAAGAATGGATAATAATGTTTTGTCATAAGATTCTCTAATGAAAACAATATTACTACATAAGCATATTTGGGTAGCCCACTTATTATTTGCACATTCGCCTAGAAGAATGGCGTACATACAACAGATATTGCAGTAATGATATGTGTGATTTTGTTTGCACAGTGTTAATACATAAACACTAAAACAAATTACATATATCAAAATGAACATATATCTTATGTTAAATCGATCAGAGATCTGGTCCATCAAATTAGAGAGATTATTAGTACAGTCTATGTGGGTAATATTATATTATTATTATAACAGATTTGACCTCATATTATCACAGGATAGCGTAATTAAATATGTGCATGTAAAAGTTATTAAAGTCTCAAATCCGAAATTTGATTAATCATGAGCACTCTAGCTACTTAGTTTGTCTGTACTTTACGTGTACTCGATATAACAGCGTGTCACATTGTGTTAGTAATCCCCTAAATATTGACAGGTTAGTAAGTTGCAATAATATAACCACAGTGTATACGTATACATGACAAGGTTAAAATTGAACTTTTAATACATTAAACTCAATTCATGAACTTGCTGTGTACGTGTACGTGTATGTCTTCTATTCTTATGCAATTATACAATTTCATAATTATATTGGAATTTGGGACTGTCTTTGCATTCCGACGGTATTCAGTTAAATCTTGCATCTGGATGTTTACGCACGCTTGCGTCGGTTTATATTCATGTACAGTTATATGCTTTACGTAACAGTTCAACTTAGTCAGTTTAACACATTATTCACCGGGTTCAGCTAAGCGGAGAACAGCTGCTGTGTCGCTGAATAGTATTTTGGAAGACAAAAGCTACAATCATATTTTCTTATATTATACAAAAAGTATACCGCAAGAGATATAGTATACCGAACACTCATGGGTCAGTAGAAAGAGAAACGTAAGTTATATAAACCCCATATTAATTAACGTATTTAAGTGCGTGAATCAATTGACAGATATTAGATGGTAGGTGTCTGTGTTTTTTAACAATATGCAAAAAAAGACAGAGGATATACTGGTTCTATACTATCTAGGTATCTTTATGACTAACTGGACTCTCATGAAGTCCACACTGGATAGTGGAAACTGAAGGTGATCTTGCTCAATAATGCGTGATCCTAATTATGTATAATATCTAAAATTCACACATATACTGTAAAGAAAAACGTCAGTATACAAACCTGGCTCTCAACTAATTTATACTAAGCTTATTTTAAAATATATACACACTATTGGCAATATATTTTTCAAAACAACAGCTTGACTATACGAGGCATTATAATCACAATTTTCATTAAAAAAATTGTAATGAAATTGCGAATTAATATTTGCAATTGAAAATAACATTATTAATTTCGTATTTCATCTACAAAAAAGGATCAAACTCTGAACGTTAATATAAAGAAGGTTGTCAGATACACCATACTACCAATTCTTGTAGTAACTATGGTGAGTTTCACATTCGTGTTATTAATGGTGACTGTCGCTGCTGTGACAGTTAATGGAAATGCCATAGTCAGAAGCCACAGAGAGGTATTGTTGTCTTTTTATTTCTAATTTATAAAACGTCTTTTTAAATATAAGAAACGACTAAGCCATTGTACATAGTTCGCGTTATTTCGTCGGTGTTCGATTGGGTCTGTATATATGTGCAATATATGTACATTGCACATGTAATTTAGTATGAAGATAGAATATTAGGTTTATGTGACATTATGATTTGTTGTTGGTTAGTCAGTGTTAGTCTGTTCGATTTTACCAAATCGCACGTTCGTTTTTATAGAATACGTATTTTTCAAAGTATTATTATTATTGCTACATGACACACATTCAACAATAAAAGCAAGATTAGAATAGTATTTCACACACATAACAGTTCCTTGTATCACTTGTTTCGGTACGTAAAAACGTTCAACGAGAATGTACATCCCCGAAGTTGCCACAATAGACCATTTTACTGTTATTAGAACAACCCCCTTTATTGATAACAACCAGTTATGTTCACTCACTTATTTTATTTTCGACCACGATAAAATGAAAATATCGATAAGGCCAATCCAATATATTTACTTGCAGAGTTGCCGATGGCACAACTGTCCGTTTCGAATCTCAATTCGATAGTTTTGTTGTTATTATAGTCATTGTTTTGTGTTGTTTAAACACAGCCATTGTTTGAAAATATTGACAATTAAAATTATTATTTCTCTCATTCTCAAAGGTTAAAGAAAAACGTTCCCCTAGCGTCAGCTGGGTGGATCTCTATCGGCTAATGACTGGAAATTGGCCGGACGGTAAGTTTTACAATCGCCAGACTGTTACTTATATTTTGAAAATCAGCTATTCACTGTATGTATACTTATAATTTATGTATTAGTTTGAGGAGTAGTGGTTCTGGTCAACTGTAATGGTTCTGACCATGGTGACATATGTCTAGCTTTACTCATCACTGAAAGCATGGTTTGAATTTGGCCAATTATTCGGGAAGGTAGAAATACACATGAAGTTAATCAGGTGAATGTTCAGAGGTTATTGCCATGTTTTTGTTGGTGCGATAATTGTTGTGTGGGCTACATCACTATATTTAGAAAGGTTCCGGCTAAACTTTATTTTGTTGAAAACACTCATCAAAATCTAATATTTTGTTAAGGTAATACGTGCGCAATCTGTAAATACAAACACAACAGGTTTTCTAAAGGAGTCAAAGGTCTTAAATATATATTTGTCTGCTTATAAGCTAGGTATAAACGACTGTCTCTATATGCATTGAATTTATATATAGACAAATATATTTCCATCAATGCAATGTTCTTCAGTATGTATGCTATCAAAGGCAGTTTCAATTATCATATGTTCATATTTTTCTTATATTGGCTGAACTGAGATTCATATTTGTGAGCAATGCATTCCATCCCAGAGTTGGTGTATTAGTGAACAAAATATACTGGCATATATGCCGGGATCTTGAAAAAAAAAAGATAAATAAGATGACATCTGGAATAGAATGATCGATATATATTCCTGAAAGTAAAAGATTCAGCAAGTGTTTATTCACTGCTACTGCGATTGATTCATCTATTATGTTTTGGGCAACACCCTAGACTGGCTCTGGTGTTTTCAATTACAGCTAACAGCTGGGCGATATGATGTAATCGTCCATAGTCACTATACTGAATGGAAATATCCATTACAACACTTTTTTTCATAAATTAGATATTGAATTGTTGTTTTTCTCAAGGACTAAATGTCTCCAGCTAGGCTCGACATAGATGTAACTCACCTTAAACTCCCCTATCACAAGATGAGAATTTGTATGGTACGAGAATTTGATTTTGTTACAAATTCTTGCCAGATGGACGTAACAGTAAATACCACAACACGTTTACCCGCCGAATTGCAGCTGTTTCAATGACTTTTAGGCAGGCTCTGGATTGTTATCCTTTATTATCCTTTTCATAAACTCCAGGTATATACCTACGGCAACGGGTATGTCTTAATCTCCTCTCTAAAAATATTGGTACAGTCCACATCTGTGACCACAGTAAAATCTATATATAAAACAGCCTTTACTCTTTTGCGTTTGTTTTTTTCATTTATTTAACAAAATCGTCAGGCGTAACCAAAACGTCGGGTGTGATATTAAAATCGTCTGGCGCGTCCCAAATAGTTATGCTAATTACATACACAATCGTGCTTGATACCCAAATCTGGTAGCGTCTAGTAATAATTAACCTAAAATGATGAGTAAACCTGGCCACAAACACTAGGGCGCAGCCGGGCTCACGTATCATGGCGTAATACAAACTAATTAGTTACGTATTTTATTTTGTATTTATCCAACATGTCCTATATAAATTGTTAAGATGTATGGATTGTCGAGATATATACTACCACGTGCACCAGCTTTACGGCAGAATTCATCGATCGATTTCAGTTACTTTACCGGGGGAACCCTGAGAGTGACTGGTTTTGCTGATGGCCAAACTCCTCCGGAAATTACCAAAAAACACGAGTCTGAGCCTGGGCTCTTTGAAGTCCAGTACGGTGGTTTTAAAGATTGTGATATTGTAAAGCTAGAAGGAGTACTCGTCAGTGCTGACAACGTCAAGGAAACTGCCATCTCCTTCAGTACAAATCTTGGTATGTTTATTTAATATTTAATTAATTTAGTTTATTTTTTGCATAAATGACGAAGCACCGTTTAACATTATAATCATAAGTCTATCATAATGTAAAGTCGCGCCTTCTATTTCTGTCACAGAATGTCCTTGCCTAGAAGGCACTGGTCAAGGCGATCCACACTACAGAACGCTGGACGGAGTGAAACTGACATACCAGGGGGAGCATTGCAGTTACGTCGTCAGTAAAGACTGTCAAAACAAGACGGCATCATTTGAAATCATCGCAGTTCACGGTTCTTCGTTACACGACGGTCAAGTCCGTCGTATAATCGGCACGGTCGTCAAAGCTGGCAAGCACATTATCATGGCGGGAAAGGGTTTAACAACGGTAAACTTTAGTAATGTTATCGCACTCTGTCAGTACAATGTGTTTCATACACTCGTCATCACTAGTCTAATCGTTCCAAAGAGACACACCATTACTAGCTTCCGATAAAGTTGTAAGGAATTATATTTGAATGCTAGATATTATCGTTTTTTTGCTGGAATCATTCTTTCAATCTGAGGTAATATATGTGTTCATATATTACCTCAGATTGTTTTGTGAAACAAATTGTTAGCCGCCAACACGGTTTCATAGCACCGCCAGCCTGGTAAACTCGCCTAAAAGTCTGTAATCTATCTATTCCCCTTGTCAATATTTAACACTTTATTTAAGGAAATTCTTTAACCTAGCTCGATGGTAAACAAATCGACCGTAAGAAGACTCTGATGTCACCGGATTTAGAACTACTGATGTATTTCCAAGATGGTTGGTTTACTATACAGTCCATCAAACAGCGTTGGTTTGTCCAGTGGAGCGATGAACGTCGTTTCAAATTTGGTATCCATGCAGACTCCTTAGTCGCTAAACATGTATGCGGAATACTTGGCAATGCAGATGGCACTAAAAATAACGACATGACAATGCCTAATAAGGCGAAAACCAAAGACCACAACAAGTTCGGCAAAAGTTGGCAAGTTCCAGGGTACGTGATTATAATATTACATGGACGCGGTAATAATTTACATCGTTCTTCACTTTTTTCTCTGTATCAAAGCGATTTCTGCCAAGTTATTGTTGATTCATACTACTACTATAAAATATTTCTAACAGGCATTAATTTGAATTCTGTTTTCGACATCCTTTCATTCAAGGCAATGTATACCTATATTATTAACATTTTTCTTTCTTTTTCAGTTGTGAATACACCGATCTGTTCGCTGATTTCTAAACTCCAAATCACACCCTGTCATCGTGTAGACGACCTTGACCATGCCATTGCTCTTCATGAATTAAATTTTGGATAAACAGCAGCAGGCTGGAAGGCTGTATTTTGTTTATTTCACCTCTCCCGTCTCGCACTAATTTTATTTTCCAGGCTGTCCTTTGCTTGCTATTGGGTTAATTTATGAATCGTATTGAAATGTAATCTAAAAACAAAATAAGCTATGGCAAGGAAGTTTGGCAGAATGGACAGCAGATACAAAGCGTTTTCTCCTTCCGACGTCATTACACCATCTCCCATTTGGTCACGCCCATAGTTATACTTTATTATTACTATAGTTATACTTTATTATTACTATAGTTATACTTTATTATTACTATAGTTATACTTTATTATTACTATAATGTCTCTTAGGAATCGTATTGTATCATTTAGATTTTGTAGTTCATGTTCATGTAGAAATAAAAATGTATGGCATATGCAAATGTTCAGTGTTGGTGAAAGAATACTAGAAAAATATTACATTGCTACATTCGTAAATGTTCTATTAAATGTTCTATTAAAAATGTTTAATGTATTGCCCATATATTGGCACATTATCAGCTGTTCCAATAGTTACCAGACCCAAATGGACGCCGGGATCTCGTTGGCAGCGAGA